ATGAACTTAGGGCCTGAGCCTGGTCAGCTTTTTACTCAAGAGTAGTGCTTTACCACTTGAGCCACAGCTCCATTTCTGAATTTTTTTCTTGTTAATTGTAGATAAGAGTTTCACAAAATTTCCTGTCTGGGCTGGCTTTGAATTTTTTTTTTTTGTCGGTCGTGAGGCTTGAATTCTAGGCCTGGGTGCTGTCCCTGAACTCTTCAGCTCAAGGCTAGTGCTCTACCAGTTGGGTCACAGTGTCACTTCCAGCTTTCTGGTGGTTAATTGGAGATAAGAGTTTCATGGACTTTCCTGTCCAGTCTGGCTTTGAACTTTGATCCTTAGATCTCAGCCTCCTAACTAATCAGGATTATATACAAGAGCCATCAATGCCCAGCTAAAATATTTCCTTTAAATGATGGCTGTTGGCATTTGAGAAGGACTTGTTTATCTCCTGATTTTCTAAAAGGAACCATATTATTTTTTTGACTGTCACATATATGGTCATTTAAAGTAATAATATAAATGAGACAAGTAAATGGAAAAGACATTAATGAATACCTAAAATGAATACGCTAAAAACAGTGGATCCCCAAGTGATTTAATAAGAACACCTGCCTTCGTGGAGCTTGGATTCTAGTGGGGACAGAAAATGACACTAAACAAGAAATATGGAACAAAATGTCAGGAAATGTGATTGATCACAATCCATGTATTAGGATGAGTTACATGGAGAAAATAACTAGAGCAGCATGTTAGACAACCCTGGAGAACCTGCTTTGGAGTGAGTGGTTAGGAGGTGGCACTGGCCGCAAGAGCTGGAGGAGTTGGAAGTGGGCAGAGGAGTTGGGAGATCTCCGGGAGACAGGGCTGGGCTTTGTCAGCAGAGTGGAGGGTGTGAGATCAGAGTCAGGGGCAGGTCAGAATCTGTGATGTTTGCAGGTCGTGTTCATGAGTCTGTGTTTGACTCTGAGTGCAGTGGAAAACCCATTGGAGAATTTTGAGCAGGAGGCTGAGGTGATTCAGACATGTACTTTAATAAAGGCATTTTTGCTGCTGTGGGAAACCAAGAAAAAGAAGGCCATACAGAGGCAAGGAGCCAATCAGGACACGATTACAAGTGTGTCAAGGATGATGACAGTGACTGAGAGAATGAAGAGTTGGAAGAATGAAAGTGAGGCAGCAGCAGACAGATTCCAGATGAAGGAACCTCGTGAGGTAGCCTTGGATTGCAATGTGGGAAGAATCAAGGGCGATTTCGACTTGTTTTTCTTCAGGATCTGCATGTTATCATTTATTGACTAGGACTGGAGGAGGGAAGATGCAGGTTGGAGAGAGAACAGGAGCTCTCTATGGGAACAGGGTTTGAAATGTTTATTAGATATTCACATTGAGATCTTAACCAGGAAATTGAATATGTGAATATGTTGCTTAAGGGAGAGTTTAGGGTTGCAGATTTAAATTTGAAGGTCATTGACCAAAGGGTTGGATATTTCACCATGAGAATTAAGTGAAAGATGAGGACTCCCACACTTAATATAATATTCACACCCTTTCCCTGTTGTAGGCATTACTGATTGATCCTGGCCCTCTAGCTGTGGGCCTAAGCCTTAGAGTCTGTTAAGGAGTTGCTCCAGGCAGCTACTACTAGTAAGTGGAGTCCTAATTGATGAGTAAAGAACGGAAAAAGTAGGCAGATAAATTAAAGGAATATTTTTTTCTGACACTAAATTCTAGGTGAATTTTATTAAGAGTTTTTTTTCTTTGAGCAACAGTAATCAAATAAAAAATTAGTTAATAAGGATAAACAAAGGAGGAGGCTGCAATGCTTGGTAAAAAATGTATGCATTATCCTGCCCATGTAATTGTAACCCCTCTGTACAGTATGTCCACAAATAAAATTTAAAAAAAGTGAAAAAATCAGTTAATAAAATTTGTTGATATTTCCTAGTTTGAAAAAATAATTTGTTAATGCAGTCAATAAATTTGGAATATCATTCTAGAAAGTCTTGAGGTATAATTTTGTAGAAAGCACAGTATTATGTTTTATTTTTTTTCTAATTTTGCTGGTCCTGGGGCTTGAACTCAGGGTCTGGGCACAGTCCTTGAGCCTCTCTATGCTTAATACTAGTGCTCTACCACTTGAGCCACAGCAACATTTCCAGATTTTTTAAAGTAGTTTATTGGAGATAAGAGTTTCGTGGACTTTGCTGCCTGAAGCTGGCTTTGAACCATGAGATCCTCAGATCTCAGCTTCCTGAGTAGCTAGGATTACAGGTGTGAGCCACCAGTACCCGGCCTATTTGGTTTTTAAAAAGAGGTAGCTGAGTTAAGAACAGCACCACGCACGTGGTATTCAGGTAAGTGGTAGGTTTATTCATCGTTCCAGCTGGCACCAGGCCATCTTGGTCCTCCACGCAGTGGGGAAAGGCCTGGGAAAGAGAGCTGGGAGAGTGGGGAAAGAGAGAGAGCTGGGAAAGAGAGAGAAAAGAGCTAGAAAAGAGAGAAAAGAGCTAGAAAAGAGAGCATCTGGGAAAGAGGTGGGAAAGAGCAAGCTAGGAAAGAGAAGAGAAGGAAAGAGCTGAAAAAGAGCTAGAAAAGAGCAGAGAGAGAGCTAGAAAAGAGAAGGGAGCTGGGAAAGAGAAGAGAAGGAAGGACTGTTTATTTTTTTTTCATTTTATTTTATTTTATTTTGTGAACATACTGTACAGAGGGGTTACAATTACATGGTCAGGATAATGCATACATTTCTTATCAAGCATTGCAGCCTCCTCCTTTGTTTACCCTTCACATCCCTTCCCAGCCTCCCCCCCATCCCCCCTTTCCCTCCCTTCCCCCCCACCAACGTTGTAAAGCTTTTTCGACATGACAACTTGTACTTCTCATTGTTGCAACAGGTCCACCTGTATCCTTAAATGACTTGTTTTTCCCCATCTCCTCCACAAGTTATACTGACATCAAATATAGTGAAAGCAGGGGTTATACTGTGGGGGAGGGACATACAAAGCAACAAAGAGATAATCTTATAAATGCGTTAGAAACACATGCATGAAAGAAAAAAACATTAAAATACATATCTAAGGGTTTTATTTTTTTAAAAATTATTTTTAAATTTCTGAATCAAGTTCTTCCTGTATATTCCAGACTGGCTTGGAAGTCATGATGCTTCTATTTCAGCTTCTCTAGTGCTGGGATTACAGGCAGCTCATGGAGGCATCATTTCCTCCTCCTCCTCCTCCTCCTCCTCTTCTCCTCCTTCCTTCTTCTCTTACTCCTTTCTAAGGATGGAATGAAACACTCCTACCACTTATGTCACACAACCCTTTCGTTTGTATTTGTTTTGGGAAATAAGATCTCCCAAACTTTTGCCTGAGGCTATGCAGCCTCTGCCTCCTGAGTAGCTGCTATTTTTTAAAGATTATCTTTAAGAGCCTGTACAAGAGGTTCAATTCAATATGTCAGCTTGTGAGTACAGTGAATTTTGGCGAATGTTACTCCCTTTCATCATTCTCTCCTATCTCTCCAATCCCCACCCATTCCCTCAACTGACCTAGTTTCATCTTCATATATATACATTCTTTATAATGACTGCATTCTTTTACAATGCTGACTCTTAGCAGTAATGCAGCCCAGGCCTCTCTTTGGACCGAAAAGCAAGTATGTGAAAGTAGGTTGTGTTCTAAAAGAAGGCTCTGCTTGGCTAGGTGACTTTGTGTATAGGTTTGCTTGGCTTCTGCCATCCATATCTCTGACTTTCTCAGCTGGAAAAGACTTGCTGTTTTTTTTTTTTTTTCCTTGTCTGTGTTACATAGGTGAAGCAGCATTCATAGAACAATGGGCTAAGCTAGGAGCTCTGAGACATCATAAAGCTCATTGCTGCTTTTCGCAGAAGAGGCTGACCCCAAGAATTCAAGCATCTTTTCCAAACATCAGTTTAAGCCGAGATTCTTTAAAGTTGTCATATGAAGTGTGCAATGTTGCTTGAGCAATGCAGCCTTCGACAGCCTATGTTTTCCACAGACTCTCCACTTAGACCTAGAGGAATAATCAAGTAGTTTTAAGGCAGTCAGAAGGCATGGTCAGCAAGCAAGAGGATGCTGCCATACACCTCTGATGGTCATTCAGCATCCTTTGAATAGCCTTCTCTAACTTTGTCCTCTTGATTCTCTTTTATGATGCCAGTAAATGCAGTGTGAAATACTGCTATATCACTCTGCTGACCATGAAGAAGGGCAAGTGATGAATGTCTCTTATCATGCTGATTTTAGAGAGAGCAACTTCTAACCAGGAGCAGCTCTAGCTAGACTCACATACTTCTGGACCTGCTGAATTGGCTTCAACTTTAATAAATATTTCATGAGGAAAGTAATCCATTGTATGTTTACAGAGAAATTCCAGGCACGCTTACAGATCATGAGTATGTCTTATATTTATTCTTTAAGCAAAGGCAGAGTTGTCTGGCCTTATGAGTGCTAGTAATCTCCACCAGGTACAAAGCAAAGATAGACTTTTTAGGTGCACAGTGCGGAGACGAAAATTGAGTCCATGGGAAATTAAAATTGATGATTGTTGAGTGGATATGAGTTCTGTTAGGACCAAGATTTTCTGAATTTTAGGACTCTGTTTATCTCATCTTATTCACAGCAGCTTAAATGGCTTGTAGCAGGTTAAATTGCTCAGTGTCCCATTCCAATTCATGTCAGAAAATCACTGACCAATTATGAACCTGTCAAAATGACAAGGAGACAATGTAACAGAGATAGCATTTCTGGTTTTATTTAACTGAAGGACTGTGACTGTATGGACTGTATGGCACCTGAAAATCAAAGTTCATGATAAGAGGGGAAAATGAAAAAAAATGCAATCTGGATCCTTGAGCATGCATTTATAACAGTGGTCCTTTCTCCCTCTCTTCTCCTGTTCCCTTTCTTTCTCCTCCTGTATTTCTTAACTCTCTTTCTCCTTCTCTTGATCTCTCCTCCTATGTATTTCCATTGACCTCCTTTTTTTATTCTTAGATATAGACAGAGAAGTCCATGCTGCCCCTCATGTGAGTGAGAAATTAATTCAGTTGTTCCGGAATAAGAGTGACTTCACGTTTTTGGCCACTGTACAGCAGAAGCCATCGACATCAGGAGTGATACTGTCCATTCGAGAATTGGAACACAGGTAAGAGAGGACTTTCTATTTTTGAAAATCTTCTTAGACTGTGTAACATGCCCTGGGTTTAGAGGTAGAAGCTCAATGGAAGCTTTTAGCTAGCTGGAATGTTCATAAATATATGAATGAATTTACATTGTATTAAGAAATTACATTTTTTTGGAGGGGTGGACAAATATAGTGGTATATGCCTGCAACCCAGCTACTCTAGTGGCTCAGATTGGAAGAATTGTTTGAAGCCAGTGTAGGCCAAAAGGTTAGTGAGACTACATCTTAAAAGCAATCCATTACATTTCTGAATCCATTTATGGAAGAAGGTTTAGGAGGATTGTTGTCTGAGGCTAGCCCTGGGCAAAAACATGAGAATCTATCTGAAAAATAGCTAAAGCAAAAAAAAAAAACCCAAAAGCTGGAACATGGCTCAAGTGTAGAACAAGCCCCTTCCTAGTAAACATGTGGTTGAGTACAAATTTCAGAGGGGGAGGGAGGGGGGAAGAAGCAGAGAGAGAGAGAGAGAGAGAGAGAGAGAGAGAGAGAGAGAGAATTTACTTTGCAGAAGATGGCATTATGTTTGTTCCCCAAGGCCAATTCATGAGTGTATTTTCACCTGTCCTTGGGTTGGCTTTGTTCCTATAAAACTTACTCTATCTACCACATTTAGGTGATTAAGCAAGTTAATTAGTTTTATTTAACCACCTTTCAGTGGAAACTGCTTATATTAAAGTGAATATTTCGGAATTTTTCCTCCAAGAATCACCTAGCTAGAAGGTGATATGAATGAATAAATACCATAAATGAATAAATACCATAATGCATTGTAGATGTAATACTGGGAGTTATTTTTAGGAAATAAAGATAGGCAGAGTCACTTCTATTTAGGGATCTATCATCCAAGAGAGGCCTCAAAAGAATGATGGCTGTAGAAGGAAATCAGATTGATTTGAATGGTGGAGGGGGTGTGAGAGATGGGACGACATTGCAGAAACAGGATGCTGGGATTTTAAGGATCATGTCTATGTGTAAGTGGTTGGGAAATACGAGTGTGTCGTCCGCAAAGCATTAGAGTTTGAGTTGGGCAGTGAGGGGTGAGGTTATGGAGGTAAATAGAAGCCAGTATGATTGCAAACGCTCAGTGCCACGTTGAAAAATTTGTACTCAAGTCCCCATACGTAATGGATTCATTTTCTTATTTATTTTATGCACATATTATTTTTGCAGTTTGAAGAGTTTCATTGTGATATTTCCATACATGCATTTAATACACTTTGATCATGTTTACCCTTCTATCAATCTCAATGATCCCTCATCTCCCATCTCTTTCCTATCTTGCTTACAATTTTTAAAATAGGGTTGCATTATGACCTTTTCATACATGACATATAGCTCAATTGTCTTTTCACCCCTCAACTTCTTTTAGCTCACTAGTTACTCCCCACCAAGTGGTCTCCCTTTTATTTTTATGCTTTCCATGAAAAGAAATCTGAGAGAAAACATATCACATTTGTTTTTTTTAATCACAGTATGGCTTTCATTTAAGATAATTTCTCCATTTCCACTCATCATTTCATTCTTCCTTGGGATTAAGTAATATTCCATAGTGTGTTTATACCACATTGTCTTTACCCATTTATCTGGTGTTGGGCAGCTAGGCTGATTTCAAAGCTTGGCCATTGTGACTAGTGCTTCAATAAACACCCATGTGTGGCAGTGTCTATCTCTAGTATAATACTAGTTTCTGTTCCTCTGGATGTCTACCCAAGAGTGGTGTTCTTTTTTGAGGCATATCTATGCATAGTTTTACAGTGATTTTACTAATTTATATTCTAAACCAACAGTGTATGAAGGATCCTCTTGGTAATGATCTTTTCCTTAATTTTTATTATCTTTAAATAGTTGTACAAAGGTGTTTCAATTCAACATGTATATTTATGAGTACGATGCATCTTGATCAATGTTACCCTTTCTATTCTTCAAGGAATGGATTTTAAGTTTGAGAAAGATCAACCTACCAATGGAGTTCAAAGTAATGATTATTAGGTAGCCTAAAAAGCAATTTAAAACTTTTGCTAACAGTTTTATCTATGCTGGTATGTCGACGGTATTTCTGATGAAGCTGCTAGCAGATGATTTACCAATTGAGTCACCCTTTGCCCCCCTTCTTTTGTGCTAGGTAATAGGCCTTGCCTCTCACCTTTTTTATTTTTATTCAAGGCTAGGGTTCTATCATCTGAGCCATAGCTCCACTTCCAGCTTTTGCTAGTTAGTTGGAGATAAAGAGTCTCATGGACTTTTCTGCTTGCTTTGAACAGCAAATCTCAGATCTAAGCCCTCTGAGAAAAGAAAAATCCTCCATCATCCAGGTTCTTTTACAAGGATACCAGGATCTAATAAATAAAAATGTCCTACAGACACTTGGCATGGTCATATGGCCAGGTGTACAATAAGATGACCAAGGATTTGGGACTCTTCTTTATTCAGTGGCAGAGAATTTAGGCATCTGATGGGTAGTTTGTCAGCCACCTTGGTTCCTTTTGAGGTTCTCTCTTGTGTGAACCTGATTTTATAACTTATAATCAGGATGAATTAAATATGTTTGCCATATTAGGAATATGATAAGTATTATAAAATTCTTGATTTTATTAGTTCTATGGATCCATAGCTTTAGGTTATTCACAAAGTTATATGTTTATTACCACAATCAACTTTAGAAAATTTCTGTTTCCCCTAAAGACCTCCACTTCAATTTGTAAATATGAAGTATCCTTCTATTTATTTAGGTCTTCATTAATTTATTACAACAGCTTTTAGTTTTCATGATATTAATTTTCATGGCTTTAAATATATTCCTAGGTATTTTTGATGCTATTGTATATGGCATTATTGTCTTAATTTTATTTTGTGGTTACTCATAACTATTGCATAGAAAAGCAATTGCATTTTTGCGTATTGATTTTACATTTTAGCATCTAGGCTAAGCTTATTTACTTGTTATAATAGATTCTTTGCCTACCACCTCCACCCTTTTGGATTTCTTAGGGTTTTTCATGAGATGACCTTGTTTTCAAATAGAGATCATGTCTTCCTCCTTACCTGGATGCCTTTATTTAATTTTCTTGCCTAATTACCTTGAATAAGTAGGCTCTTGAATAGAAATAGTGAAAGGCAACATTATTGATCATAAGGAGAAGGCTTTCAATTTTTACCAGGAAGCATATGTACTAGCTGTGGGCTCACAGAGACTCAACGTGGTTGAAGGAGTTTTTTTTTTTGGTGGATAGTCTTTGTTAGGGTGAATGTGTTCCCTTCTATTCCTAATTATTCAGTGTTTTATTGCAAAGGAGCATTACTTTTTTTTTTTTTGTCAGTCCTAGGGCTTGAACTCTGGGCCTGGGTGCTGTCCCTCAGCTCTTCAGCTCAAGGCTAGTGTTCCACTACTTGAGCCACAGCAGTTTTCTGGTAGTTTATTGGAGATGAGTCTCATGGACTTTTCTGCCCAGGCTGGCTTTGCACCACAATCCTCAGCCTCCTGAGTAGCTAGGATTACAAGTGTGAGCCACCAGCACTCAGCTCCTTTTTTTTTTTAGTATACACACACACACACATACACACACACACACACATACTATTTCTCCATCTACTAGGATAATCATGTTGTTTTACTCTATATTTATTAATGTGTCATATTAAACAAATTAATTTTTTTCTCAGTCCTAGGGCTTCAACTCAGCTTCTTTTGCTCAAGGCTAGCACTGTACCACTTGAGTCACCACGTCCAGCTTTTTCTGTTTATGTGGTATTGAGGAAACAAACCCAGGGATTCATGCATGCTAGGCAAACACTCTACCATTAAGCCACATTCCCAGTCCACAAATTAATTTTTGAATGTAAAACCAAGCTTGTATTTCTGGGATAAATACTGCATGGCTATGACTGTGTAAAATACTTTCTGAATTACTGGATTTGTAATGAAACTGTATTGTTAAAGTCTATACTCATATGAGTGGCACTGGTTTGTAGTTGTCTCTTATGTTTTTGTTCTAGTTTTGGAAATAAATTTAGCTGATTTTTTATGTGGATTGTTTAAAGAAAATATTTGCTGATTTTATACCATGTACCTTGAATTTTAATTTTTTAACCTGCTTTGGTTGGTTACTTGTAGAGTTTATAATTTGAAAATTTTGAAAATCTTTTCTCTGAAATTCCAAAAATTATACTAGCAATGTTTGTGTTATTTCATTAGTGCACTAATGAATAATAAATATATGAAAGGTCTTGATGCAAGGACGAAGGAAGTAAGACAGCAGGCAAGCCTCATGATTTTTACTATGTTCTTTTTATCTAATAAGTATAATATCTAAAAGTCTTGATTCTGTACACAGGAAGAAGGAAATATCTCTTTTCTTTTCTTTATTTCTCTGTGTTTTAGCCCTCTAATACTACAATAAATCCTTGCTAAAACTTTACAAAGCTTTACAAAAACTTTACAAAAATATATCAAGAACCTAATGCCAGTGGCTTATGTCTATAATCCTAGCTACTCAGGATGTGTGTGTGTGTGTGTATGTGTGTGTGTATACACACACATATATAATGTATATACATATATATCTATATGTATACACACACACACACACACACACACACACACACACACACACACACACACACACACCTGGCTTATTTCACCAGCATTATTTCTTTCAGATTCACCTAGGTTGTTGAAATGACAGTATATCATTCATCAATATAGCTGAATAGTATTCCGTGTGTGTGTGTGTGTGTGTGTGTGTGTGTGTGTGTGTGTGTGTGTGTGTGAGTATAAATACATATCGATATATATGTATATACATTATATATGTGTGTGTATCACTGTTCATTCATTCATGATCAATAGTCTGATTTGTATCTTTGAATAATATTGAGTAAGACATAGGAGTGCATTTTCCTTCCTTTGGGATTGCAAGATCATATGGTAGTTACATATTTACTTCTTTGAAGAACTTTCATAC